GTGGCTGAGCTCAGACTGTCCCTTCTCTCTTTTTCTTTGTTTGTCTCTGTCTTTCTTTCTCACCACCTATTTCCCACTCTAATCTTTCTCTTAGTTCCCTCCTGCCAACTGGGGCATGTCATACATTTTGCTAGCATCTCTCTCTCTCTCTCTCACACACACACACACACACACACACACATACACACACACACACACATACACACACACACACACACACACACACACACTCACATACTACCGGGTCTGGGCGCTGAAACTTTCCGAAATCACAAAAGAGTTTGTTCCCTGTTACCGGGTCTGTATACACTCTGGCTCTGGGTGGCAAAGACAATTTCGTCACGGCCATGACACGAAAATCAAGGCTTTGGTAAGCGTCCGGGGGTAAGGTGTCAAAGGGATTTAGAGTGATTCCTAGTGTTTCTAGTGTTTCCTAGTGATTCCTAGTGTTTCCTAGTGTTTCCTAGTGTTTCCTAGTGTTTCCTAGTGTTTCCTAGTGTTTCCTAGCGTTTTCGAGTTTATTCGAGAAAAATAAACACCGTTGAACTCTAACTACCCTGATTTCTCCACATATAAAACCACCCACCGCCACTGACCTTAACCCTAACCGTGCCGTAACCCTAACCCTCCATTTATTTCCTAGATCTAGTGGTCGCTGTCTACAGTAGATTCCTCCCCAACATCCCAGCAGAAAGACAAAGATTCCTAACAAAAATTCCCCCCCCCCCCCACTTGGGAGTCAAGCTCGGTAGCCTACAATTTGATCAGATCTTTCATTATCAAACAGGTTTGTTAAATTTTTCTTGGTCACACATCATATCTGACACTTTTGAATACGTCTAGTAAAAACAACTGCTCAGAAGTTGTCGCATGCAGAGTCTAGGGCTTGAAATAGACCTCTGCAATTTGCCTTGGTGCCTTTGCAATTTGCCATGCCCTTCCTTAGAATCAAAAGGTCAACCGCGACAATTTTTGCTGTGCCCTTGTATTTTGTTTAAAGAAATTAAAAAAAAAAAAAATGGTGACAATCAAAGGCAGTGGCGACGATTGAATCAATTCAGTCAGTACAGTTGGCCTACATAATAATGTGGTCCTTGAGGGGGGGGGGGGGGGGGGGGGGGGGGGAGTGGATTTAGGCAGTTCGGTCTCGCGGTGCCCTCCTTGCCAGCTCCGACCTTCGACCGATCATCTGTACGTAGGTTAGGCTGATGGTGAACGAAGGCTCACGAAGTGGTGGATGAGTGGACACATAGGCTACTGGCTTCTGGCTTCTGTATTCCCACCACAGAATTCTGTGATTCCCACGCACACATTTTTATAGATTGATGCCGACAGTCGCTCACGTGCGAACGTGATGGAAGCGGGCAGACAGAGGGTGCAAAAATGCGTTTGTAATATTTATTAGGCTAATTTGATATTAACAATATGGTTCTACAATAAGGGGG